AATGCAACTGTTGCAAGATAAATGGTCAACTTACCTATCCAAAAATCTGTGATTCGGAGAATTGCGATCACAGGCCTGTCAAGCCCAGCACTGACTATGTCACTTCTCAGAATCTGGATAATTAAAAATGAGCACACTTTACACACAAACCCTAATAATTCACCCACTTCTAACACCATGAAGTTTATTAAAGGGAGTCGAGTTGTAAGGGTTGTTTAAAAATTTTCTAAATTGGCCTTGCTGTCAGCCCCTCTGCCTCTGTTTGTGCCCAGCTGTACGTCTCTGGTCGTTGGCCTAGGGAGTCTGCGTAGCGCTGGCAGCATCAGTGAGGCTGTGACGGGAAAAAGCATGGGAAACTCCGGCTCTTCAGTGCCTCGAACAGAAAAAATATGTGGGATTTGGGCCATGACTTGTTCTTTACGAGTAACTATTTGAAAAAGAAACCAAGAGGTTTGAAGGGAGAAGTAGTAAGTACCTACCTTGCTTTCCATTAACCTCTTGGCAGCAAGAATTGCCTGTCCCTTCCAGCTTTTCTGTGTACATTCACCGATTTCCACTCTTTTTTTTTCCTACTTAGTTACCACAAATGTCATGTGGTTGCTTTCTCATCGAATGAAAATGTCTTACTCTGTCCCGGACTCTCAGTGTCCACGGAAGCTGCTGAACACCTGTGAGGGATAGCAAGGTTATTTGGATAGCCAGGTGACCACGTGGTTGGTAAGAAAAACGTGTGATCCCTGCGGCAACAGTTTTTCATTCATAATCCCCACTTTTTCTAATGAAAGTCACTGTAAGCTAGCTGCCTCTCTGTAGTCTGCCTAGTAGATGCATCTTAAAAAAAAAAATGAGCTAACATAAAAGTCTTTAGCTTCTTCATCCTAGTAAGCTGAAATTTCTATTATATTATTTTCATGCCAAATAATGTTATAAATTGGTGAGGAATTTTTCAGTCTATAGGTCTTACATTGCAAGCTGGGTGCCTCCTGACAAGCTCTTGCTTTTCTGAGCACTAAAACTATTTTTGGAAAACTAAAGCTGGCGATTATAGCCTCGGCTTCTCTCCTTTTTGCACAGCAGCAGCTCAAGACCTTCCCTCTTCAAAAGGGTTTTCTCTTTAAATATGCCAATGTGTTTCAGAGGCTTCTCAGCCCTGCTGCTCTGAGGGATGGGAGGATGATTAATTGATGTCCTTTACTAGGAATGTTTTTTAGGAGATTTAAGCTGCGCTCTGAATTTTGGGGAAGTGCTTGAGTTGTGAGAGAAGGAGGAGTTGGATGATACTGCTGTGAACTTACAGCTGTTGCTGAAAAAGCTAATTACTCTGATAGCGGATGACTTAATTTTTCTGCAGGTTGTATCTTAAGCATTAATGGTTTAAAGTGTTGAAACTTCTACTTAGGCATTTAGTTACTTTTGAAAAGAAAATTAGTCTCCATAGTCAGTTTTCGCTGTTTCATTTCTGATTTTTAAAGTGCAAGTTTAATTCTGTTGTATCCAAAAAAAGTACCTCAGCTTGGGCCACTTGCTATTTGATATTACGTACGCACTTGATATTATAGATGTGCTTGGTTTTTTTCTTCATGAGAAGAACAAAGCGGTGGTCTGCTGACAAGCTTCTGCTATAGCTGAGGTGAATTCCTAATATCCTTATAAACACAGAAAACCAGATGGTTAAGAACGATACCCACAGAGGGCCTGCAGATTTAAATATTGCTATATGAGGAAACCTGCCTTAACATTTAGCATATATAGTTTTTCCTTTTAGGTGAGGTAAATAATGGTTTGAACCATGGGTTTGCATAGTCAGAGTGCAGGATTTTAAAATGATCACCTAATTTTGTAAATTGTTCATCAAAGTGGAAAATTTAGCATAGTCTTCAAAGAACTAAAAAGCTGTTCAGAACCCAGTGCTGTTGTACGTAACCGCTGTGAGAACTGGCTTGAAAAAGCTCCTGCATGTTGCAAAACCAGCCTTAACCATGACTGATTTTTAATCAAAATGAGGTGGTTTAAGTAAAGCGTATCTTTTATCCTCTTCTCTTCTTACCTTCTCCACTGCTACATTTTGCTCATTTATTGTTAGTGCAGAACCCAGAGGTAGCAGCAGATGAAAATCTACAGCTGAAATAAGAAAAGGTTTAAATGGTAAATTTGATTCTTCTTGGCCCAATTACATGAGTACAAATCAGAAATTATTCCATGGGATCAATGTGGCTGTACTAATGTAACCTCAATAGAACCAGGGAAATATATCAGCCCACAGCATAGAAGCTTGTCATGAAAAATTAATCTCTGCCCATGGAACTTGCCTGCACACAAATACCAATATTGGGAAGTGGGGAGGAGTGGTCTAAAGTTTACAGCAGGTAACGATGGAATATAAATATCTCCATGGTGACAAGTTCAATGTCTATTTATAGTTTCTTAAAGCACCCAATAACCCATCTTTTAATCATTGCTTCAGCTCCCCAAATGGTATTAAAACCAGCCTAAGTGCATTTGGTAGGTAGAAGGAGCTAAGTCTGTGTAAATTGTAAATCACAGCTCCTTAGGATTTAACGAGGGCAGGGACACATACAAGTACTTAGTTACGACTTTCTGCAGGAGTAGATGAACACAGGCCGTGCTGTGTGCGTGCCGCTGATCATGCCATCCTAGAATCGTAGAATCGTTTAGGTTGGAAAAGACCTTTAAGATCATCAAGCCTAACCCTGCTATCCCACCACTAAACCACGTCCCTAAGCGCCTCCCAGCTGCCGGATGGGAAGTCTCGCCCGTTTCCCACCGTCGCAGAATCTCAGCGGTCAGCACACCAGCAGCTGTTACTCTGTGTTAAAGCCGGTCAAAACAGTGAGCTGAACCTGGGCTACTAACAGCAAACTTAAAAGAATACAACTGTGAAATGTGCGTTGTGATTCATTTTATTTTTAGGGATTGTTTTCATAATGGTCTTAAGCAAACACAGAAACACTGGATGAGTTACCTGTACTTGGTCTTCAAATAGAATAAAAATCTGTAGTAGTTCAAAGTATATTGTTGCTTTTATTCAGTATCTTTCCATATCTTTAGTGTCACCTTGCATTATTTCACCTCAAAATCTAACTCCTATACGTAAGGAAATATACAAAATTTAACATAATTAATATACATTAGTTTGTGGCTTGCTCTTATTAAACACTTTTTTTCCCCCCCATCACTCCATGGCTAAAGGA